AGACACATGCAGCAATATGACTTTTTATGACATCTCAGTTTAGTTTATAAAATGTGATGCAGCTTCTCTCTTGTTCACTGAAATATTCATATTTAATATTTGAAGACCTGACTTACTGTGTAAAAAGTGTAACTTCTATGAAGATGTTATGCTGTAAGAAAGCCAAGAATCATGATGAAGCCACATGTATGTACTTAATCATGTAGTATGTAGCCATTTGGTTGGCTTTTCTCACTTACTACTATGCATTTACTTTCCCCCCAGGTCTTCATAACTTGATAGCACATTTCTTTTTAGTGTTGAATGATATTCTGTTGTTTGGATGTATTGCAATGATACACAATGGACATTTATATGTCTATTCACCTACTGAAGGCTACTTTAGGGTTTTCAAGTATTGGCAATTATAAATAAAATTGCCATAAATATTACATGCAATTTTTTGCATGGGCAAAATGGTTGAACACATCGGCCATACCAAGGAGCATGATTGCCAGATCATATGGAAAGAGTATGATTAGCTTGGCAAGAAACTGTCAAACTGTCTCACATATGATCATGCCCTTTTGCATTCATAGCAACACTGAAGGAGGTTCTTGTGTGTTTGCATTCTGATTAGCATTTGATGTTGTTGATGTTCTGGATTTCAGCCATTTTAGTAGGTCTCTCATTGTCATTTTAATTTGTATTTCCCTAATGACATATGATATGAAACTTCTTTTTTTAATGCCTATTTGCCACCTGTGTATCTTCTTTGGAGAGGTATTTGCTGGCTTGTCTATTTTTTCTCTTGACAGTATCTTTCACTGAGCGACATTTTAAATTTTGGGTTTCTTTTTTTTTTTTGAGATGGAGTCTCACTCTGTTGCCCAGGCTGGAGTGCAGTGGCTCACTGCAACCTCCGCCTCCCAAGTTCAAGTGATTCTCCTGCTTCAGATTCTTGAGTAGCTGGGATTACAGGTGCCTGCCATCACACCTGGCTAATTTTTGTGCTTTTAGGGGAGGCAGGGTTTCATCATGTTGGCCAGGGTGGTCTCAAACTCCTGACCTAAAGTGATCTGCTTGCCTCGGTCTTGCAAAGTACTGGGATTACAGGTGTGACACATTTTGAATTTTAATAAAGTTCAGCTTATCAATGATTTATTTTGTGGATAGTGACTTTGGTCTTATATCTAAAAAGTTAACACAAAACCAAATTTATCTACATTTTCTGTTCTGTTAACTTTTAGGGATTCCATATTTTTGAGTTTTACATTCAGGTCTACAATCTCATTTAAGTAAATTTCTCAGTCAAAATTAAATTGTCAAAATAATTTACTAATACACAGGCAAACCAATATTTCCCTAATGGTCCCAAAGTAAGTACAATCTCTGAAGTAAATAAGAACTTCCACTTAGTCACAGTGTAGTTACTAGTGTTGATCCACATACTGGTTCGCCCTGAGTAATTTTGAAGTTACAAATAAAAGTGTTTTTATACTGTGATTATTTTATGCAATATTCATTAAAGAAATATTTACTAAGTTTGTTCCTTGTGCAAGAGCCCTGGAGTCTCATTTTCTAGGTCCTGGAGATATTACTAGTCCACTAAACAAACAAAAATTTCTATCTTCAGGGAGCCTAAATTTCAGTGGGAGGAAGTACACCATAAACAAAATATATAAGATTACTATAATAAATATTAGGTACTGGTAAATGCTACAGAGACATATATTATACGAAAGAAGAAGAGATCATTTGGGTGTGAGTTTGCAATTTTTAATATGGTTAGGTCAAGCTCGTGGATAAGATGACATTTGAGAAAAGATGTAAGGTGATAAGGAAGAAAGTCCGGCAGATATAGCATGGGAGAAGGTAGGCAAAAATTAAAACAGGCCCAGTAGGGAGCAGAGATCATGCAGGACCTCACAAAATTTTGCTCTGAATGAGAGAAAGTCACAGAGGATAAAGGGGACATAAGTATGGATGCTATAGAAATAAATGGAGGGGCTCTATAAAGTATTCTGTTTTCTTACAGTTTGAAAAGTATTCAAGGGCTGGGCGTGGTGGCTAGCGCCTATAATCCCAGCACTTTGGTAGGCTGCAACAGATCACCTGAGGTTTGGAGTTTGAGACCAGACTGACCAACATGGAGAAACTGTCTCTTCTAAACATACAAAATTAACCAGACATTGTGGCACATGCCTGACATCCCAGCTACTCAGGTGGCTGAGTCAGGAGAATCACTTGAACCCAGGAGGCGGATGTTGTGGTCAGCTGAGATCCCACCATTGCACTCCAGCCTGAGAAACAAGAGCAAAACTCCGTCTCAAAAAAATAAAAGTACTCTAGAAAATCTTTAAGACTCTGAAAGCAAGAACTATGTCTACTCTAGATACTTCTTGGCTAGAACATTAATGTTTGCAACATATTTATTGTGATAAATCTCAATGTTGAAAAATGATAAGACAAAACAATTAAATTTCTGTATCATCTGAAGAGGCTGTACTTATTACTCATAGAGAATAATCTTTGGTTACAGAAAAGATATTCTTTTTCTTCCAGAAAAGAGGATTTTTTTAAATTCCTTATAATTCCAATGACAATTGGGAATAGCAAAAAAATAATTAAAATAACATGCTAGAGCAAAATAATTATTATCAGAGAAAAATTTGAAGTTGGAGTTCTGACACTGAGGAACTGTTTGGCCTTGGGCAATTTATCTCCCCTCTCAAGGCCTCTGTTTCCGCCTCCAAATACTAAAGGGGAAATACTAGCAGTGCAAACTTCTTAGATATGGCAGGGTTAAATTAAGTTAGGTAATGTATATGAACATTCAGAAAATCATCTATTAAACATGAAGTGTTTGGCTGTGTTATTATTAATGGTGATGCTATTATTATCATCTTAGGAAACAGAGAATCTGGGCTGATAGATTCAGCTTTAACATTCAGGACATGGTCAACACAACGCCATTTGCTTTTTACATTATCTAATCATTATTGTTGTTAGCTATTATTTTTACCATAAAAACTCTCTATATAGATTCTGCTACTATAGCTATTTGTATTACATTGCATAAACATAATCTGAAAGTTTATTATTGTGTGGCTAATACAGGCTCACCATCAAAGACAAGTGAAATGATTTTTAAAAACATAAATTAAACAGTCTCTAGATCATTCACATGCATAGAAAGCCACTATTGTTTTTCAGTTGGACCAAATTTAGTTTCTGACATATCAACTCATCTTATTTTTAGACTTAAGAAGTTATTTGCAACTTCTCAAGTATCCTTTATATTTTAGAGATAGTCTTGAGTGAGCGAATACACTCCTAATTTTTTTTCTAGAAAAGGTCTAAAAGAAAAGCTGTTTCAGACTATTAGTATAAAAAAATACACATCCTCCAGGTCCTCCCAAGGTATCTTTACATAGAAGCTTTAACTTTATGCTTAAAATGAATGCACCAGGAGTAACAGTCAAATTGGAAAATAAGCATGTGAGATACATTCACAGTAAATATTGCTCTATTATTTTAGGCATAGATACAAAATTGAGTGACATGTTTTCAAACACATACCCAAAACTATGTGTTTCTATATGTATGTGTGTGTACACATACACAAACACACAGAAGCACACACACACACACACACACACACACACACACATATATATATATATATATATATATACACACACACACATATATGAAGCGGGGGAGAGAGAGAGAGAGACTCCCTTTTGGTATACTCACTCTCAGTGTACTTGACTCAGTAAATATTTATAGTGTGCATCCTCTGTACTTGTCAATCTGCTAGACATTGGGAATACATAGGAGTGGAAAAAAAATGGTTCTTGTGAAATACAGGTAAATGGTAGATAAATGAACAGGTCTAACACGATGTGATCATGTGTCAAATAATGACGCTATTCATAAAGACAAGAGGAGCAAAATGAGTAAGCTATGTAAGTTCCGACCCTAAGAAAAGGAAAGTAAGAAACGCTGAGCAAAACACTGGAGATTTAAGACCCATCTTAAATTATTCATTAAAATGTAATAGGAAAAAGAATGGGGTAAGGAATTCCAGAATGAAAGAGCAACATTAACCAAGACTAAACATATGGAATGCACCGAGCACTGGGAGGTGTCCTATTCTAATGATGCTGCCACTTCTTTAAAAGAAATTAATCTTTGAGAATTCTCCATAGATGATGACAAAGTAAAAGAAATTATTGAGAGTAGATTTCATTTGGGGAAAGTAAAACCATTCAAATGGATAAGTTCAATGTGAATACAAATCTATAAAATACTAAATGGCTGGGGAATAAATATGGGCCATCTTTCCCATTGACTGATTCAACCAGGTTTGAGCTAAGCACTGGATGACGTCAGTGGAGGGACTGCTCACCCACCCAAGGTGGCTCCATCTGAGCGCTGTTCAGAGAGGAAGTGATATCTGAGCTACACGTTGAAGGACGAGTTAAGCAGATGGAGATGGGATGTTGATGCACCCAAACATGAGTATGGCCTTTCAGATCTTTTGCTTGATGAGTTCAGCATTTGTTCTTGTGGTGCTGCCATTATCCCCATACAAAATGATCTTCAAAGGTCAGATAAGCCACTCAGGATGATCCTCTCGTGTTTGTGGTCACTGTTGGTGTGACTCTGCAGATTTCAATTCAAATAAAATCTTGGCCCAGGGCCCAATACTATGAGCAATTGAATAAATTTGTACTAAATATGGAAACAAATAAAACTACAAGCACACACACACATTGAGAGAGAGAGAGAGAGAGAGAGAGAGAGAGAGAGAGAGAGAGAGAAAGGGAGAGCGAGAAAGAAGTATTTCCCTGGGTTGTGCTTTTCACAGCCAACAAAGGTACTCTCTGAGCAGATGTTTGCCATTAATATTCGCCTGACACTTAATCTGGTCTGTCTAGATACTTCTGAAATGGACTGTAACACGTCGGGGAATATTGGCCCGAATCTCACCCCGTAGTACCTTTGTCCAGATTAACAGACTGACCTGGACTAAATTTAGTTGCTGTGGCATACCCCACAGGAGAGCTGGCTATCGGACAGACAGAGGTAAGCGACCACGTGGTGCCCAGTATATTCTACTGTTATCAGGTCAGAACACATGAAGGGTGGTCCCGGGCCAAGCAGCAGCTTAACAAAACATGACCTTCCTGAGGTTTCATAGAGGAATGGTTCTTTACACAGTTTAGAGGTCTGGCCAAGTTTTGGACCAGGCAATTTTCCTTTTTCTTTTCTTTCTTTCTTTCTTTCTTTCTTTCTTTCTTTCTTTCTTTCTTTCTTTCTTTCTTTCTTTCTTTCTCTTTCTTTCTTTCCTTTCTTTTTTCTTTCTTTTCTTCCTTCTTCCTTTCTCTCTCTCCTTCCTTCCTTCCTTCCTTCCTTCCTTCCTTCCCTCCTTCCTTCCTTTTTCTCCTTCCTTCCTTCCTGAGAAAAAAAGTGAGAGATAGAAAGGAAGGAAGGGAGGCAGGCAGGGTGGGAGGGAGGAAGAAAGAAAAGGAAGGAAGAAAAGAAAGGAAGGAAGGGAAGGAGGGAGGGAGGGTGGAAGGGAAGGAGGGAGGCAGGGAAGGTCTTGCCTCCTTCCAGAAATATGTCTGGTTCATCAGGACATTTTTTTAAAACTTCAAAATATTTTTAAGGTATTTTAAACTTAAAAAAAAAAAATCAACCAACAAGAGACTCTTCTATGGAGGAACATTTGTATTTGAACAAGATCATTGGTGTGTAGTTCAGTCTTACTAGTATACAAGCTTTTGTGTATAGATGTTTTATGATATGATGCCCTATATTTTACAGGGTTTTTTCTCTTTTGCTTTTTAAATAAATATGTATATTGATATTTTAAATTGAACTTTGCTCTTTTTAGAGGAGTTTTTAATCACCTTATAACATGAAAATAAATATTTCTTTTTAAAAATCCAATAAATAATAAATAGAACACCTTCACTGTACAGGGGAACTCCCATTTATAAAATCCTTGAGATCTTGTAAGACTTGTTCACTACCAAGAGAACAGTCTGGAGAAAACCACTCCTTCAAATGGAATGATTTCTTCCTTCTTTCCTTCCTTCATTCATTCCTTTTTTCCTTCCTTCCTTCCTTTTCATTTTCTTTCTTCCTCCCTCTCACCCTGCCTCCCTCCCTTCCTCCTTTCTTTCTATCTCTCTCACTTTTTTTTAGTTCTGTCAACTAATTCTAACAAGAAACATTTTTGTTTTAGAGTTTATCATTTTAGCTTATTCAATCACTCATGCTTCGTATTTTTGAAATTATGATATAATTTACATACAGTAAAATTCATCCCTTTACAATTAGCATATGCATTTGAGATTCATCCATGTTTTGTGTATTAATAGTTTGCTTCTTTTCATTATTGAACAGTACTCTGTATTCGTCTGTTCTCATGTTGCTAAGAAAGACATACTTGAGATGGAGTGATTTATAAAGGAAAGTGATTTAATTGACTCACAGTTCCACATGGCCAGGGAGACCTCACAATCATGGCGGGAGGCAAATGAAGAGCAAAGTCACATCTTACATGGTGGCAGGTAAGAGCGCTTGTGCAGAGGAACTCCCATTTATAAAATCCTTAAGATCTCATGAGACGTATTCACTGCCAAGAGAACAGTCTGACGAAAGCCATCCCCGTGATTCAATTATCAGCAGCTGGCTCTGTCCTTGCCACATAGGCATTATTACAATTCAAGGTGAGATTTGGGAGGGGACACAGCCAAACCATGTTGTATTTCAAATGCATAGATGTATTGAACTTCGTTATCCACTTTCTACTTGAGGGAATTAAGGTTGTTTCTAGTTTTTTACATATATGAATAAAGCCTATATAAACATTCTATACAGGTTTTGTGTAAATATAGGTTTTCACCGCTTGCATTGAATCTAAGAGTGAAATTGTTGGGTTGTGTGGTAAGTGTACATTCAACTTTAGAAGAAATTGTAAACTTTTTCCAAAGTGGGTACACCATTTCAAATTCTCACCAGCATTGTGTGGCAGTTTCAGATGGTTTTCATCCTTGCTAACTCCTTACTGTTAGGTTTTGTTTGTTTATTCACTTTTTGTAGTTGTACTTCTTATGTATTCTAACAGGTGTATAGTGCCGTGACATTGTGGTTTAATTTGCAGTTCCCTGATGACTAAGATATTGAGCATCGTTTTATTTGCTGATTTCCACCTATCTGTCTTTGCTGATGAAGTGTCTATTCAAAGCTTTTGTCCATTTATAAATTGGATTGTTTATGTTACTATTTTTGAGACTTGAGATATAGATATATAGGTACCAGTACTTCATCAGTTATGATATTTGTGAATATTTTCTCACAGTGAGGGGCTTGCTATTGTATTCTCTTAGGAGTGTCCTGTGAAGATCAGATATTCTTAATTTTGTTCACATTGAAATAATCAGTCTTTCTTTTTATAGATCTTGATTTTGACATTGTATCTACAATATTCATACCCAACTCAAAGTCATAGATATTTTTCTCCTATGATTTATTTCAGAGTTTTATAGTTTACATGTAGGTTAATTAATTTTTATAGGGTGCAAGGTATCTATTGAGATTCACTCAATTTCACATGGATCTGAAATTATTCTGGCAACGTTTGCTGAAAAGACTGCTTTTATTCCATTGAATTGCCTTTGCACAGTTCTCAAAACCCAATTAACTATGTGGCTATGTTCTGTTTCCCTGGTTTTCTATTCTGTCCCATTTATCTACATGTCTATCCTTTCTCCATTGCCATCGTGTCTTTACTACTGTAAGTTGGTAGTTAAAGTTTAGTAGGAGTCAATATTTAGAAATACAAATGTCTTTTGTATATTGCCCTTGTATCATTTGACATTGCCAAAGTTACTAATTAGTACTAGAAGATATTTTATGCATTTTCTGACATTTGCTACATAGGCAATCATGTAATACACAAATAGAGGCTTTTTCTGACTTTATCTCTAAGATGTATGCTTCTTTTTCTCTACATTTTGCACTGTATATGTGCACTATGCAAGACCTCTGCTGTGATATTGAATAGAAGAGTTAAAAGCAGAAAGAAATATCATTCAATACATCACCACTAATTGTAGTATTAGCTGTAGCTTTTGATGGGTGACATTTTCAGGTTAAAGATGTGCCCTTTTATACCTATTTTGTTGAGGCTCTTACCATGAATTGATATTGAGTTTTGCCAACATGTTTTTCTACATCTATTGAGATGAATCTGTGTTTTGCCTTATTTAGTCTTTTATATGAATAATTATATTAATTGTTTTTTTCTGCTATTGTACTAGCCTTGCATTACTCAAGTGAATCTGCCCCATATTTTTTCTATACGGGATTTGAATTGCTAATATTTTGTTAAAATATTTTTGTGCCTGTGGGCTTGAGTACTATTGACCTCTAGTTAGTTTTTTCTTAATGTCTTTTTCTTACTTCGATGTCAAGTTCATGTTGTATAATAACTTGTGTTGGAAAGTGTTCCTTTCTATTCTACTTTATATACAAATGTGTGTATAATTCATATTTCTTCTTTAAGTGTTTGGTAGAAATTGCTAGGGGAGGCATCTCCACTTGGATTTTTCTGTGTTGGAGGATTTTTTCTTTTGGGTTTCAGGGGAGGTTTTAAGTAATATGCAATTCCTTTGATAGATAGTAGACTATTCAATTTTCTATTTTTTTCTTGAGTGAAGTGTGGTAGCTTTTATTTTTGCAAGGATGTTTTTCCATTTTATTCAAATTGAAATAGCAAGACATTATATCTGCTTATTTTAATGTCTATTGGGATCTGTAGGTCATGTCCCCTTTTTAAATTCCAGATCGTTTTAAGTTGTATCTTTTTTTTCCGTTAAAAGTTCAGTTCAAAATTTATTGATTTTATTTAGAATTTTGAAACACCTCAAAATTTTGATTTATTGATATTTTTAAATTAATTTTTTAAAAATAAAATTTCACTGATGGCTGTTCCTATTATGTTATTCCTTTTACTGCTTTAGGGTTTAATTAGCTGTAACATTTTTAGTTTCTTAAAATAGAAGTTTAGATTATTAATACAAAATCTTTCTTTTCCATTTTAAGTATATGATGCTATAAATTTCCCTTTAAACAATGCTTTTGTTTCAGCATTGACATTCTATTTTCACTAAAATCAAAATTCTTCTATTTCTTAAGTGAATTTTTTTTCTTTTGAGAGAAAGAAAAAGAAAGGTAGAGAGAGAACAGGAGTTTTGTTCTATTGCCCAGGCTGGAATGCAATCTAAAAATAGATATTAAAAAACCTCTTTTATGCCAATAATTGTGCTTAACAGCAGAGACAGGAAGGAATAAGGGAAGAAAATAACAAACAAACAGCAGACCAATATTTCATTTAAGTCTATGAAATGCTATGCAAATGCTAAAGAGTGATTTACTTCCAATTATGTGGCAACTTTCAAAATAGGTGTAATGTGATCCTGAGAAAAATGTATGTTCTGTAGACTGGGGTAAAGAATTCTATAAATATTTGCTGAGTTTACTTGTTTCATGTCTGAGTTCAAATCATAAATGCCCCTGTTAATTTTCTATCTCATTGATCCGTCAAGTATTAACAATGTGGTGTCAAAGTCTCCTGCTATTATTGTGCGGGAGTCCAAGTCTCTGTGTAAGTCATTAAGAATTTGTCTTATGTATCTGGGTGCTCCTATATTGGGTGCATATATATTTATGATCACTGACTCCTGTTGTTGCATTGATCCTTTTACCATTATGTAATGTCCTTCTTTGTTTCTTTTAGTCTTTGTTACTATTAAAGTCTATTTTGTCAGAGGTGAAAGTTACAACTCCTGTTTTTTGTTGTTGTTTTTTTTTAATCTCCGTTTGATTAATAAGTCTTCCACCAACCCTTTGTTTTGAGCCTTTGTGTGTCCTTGCTTATGAGATGGATCTGGATACAGCATACCGATGGGTTTTGACTTGTTATTCAATTTGCCTGTCTGTGTCTTTGATTGGGGCATTTTATCCATTTAAATTTATGATTATTATTGATATTTGTGAGTTTAATATTGTCGTTTAATGCTAGCTGGCTCTTTTTCCCATTAGTTGATATAGATTCTTCATTATGGAGATACTCTTTATCTTTTGGTAAGTTTTTGGGATGGCTGATACTGGTTGTTCCTTTCTGTGTATAGTGCTTCTTTCAGAAGCTCTTGTGAAGCAGGCCTGGTGGTGAAATCTCTGAGTGCTTGCTTGTTCATGAAAAATTTTAGTTTTCCTTCATTTGTGAAGCTTAATTGGGCTGGATATGAGATTCTGGGTTAAAAATAGTTTTCTTTGAGGATATTGAATATTGACCCCAACTCTCTTCTAATTTGTAGGGTTTCTGCTGAGAGATCTGCTATGAGTCTGATAGGCTTCCCTTTATGGGTAACCTGACCTGTCTCTCTAGCTGCCCTTAGAATTTTCTCCTCTATTTCAACCCTGGTGAATCTAATGATTATGTGTCTTGGGGTTGCTCTACTTGAGGAATATCTTTGTGGTGTCCTCTGTATTACCTGGAGTTGAGTATTGTCCCACCTTACTAGGTTAGGAACGTTTTCCTGAATAATATCCTGAAGAATATTTTCCAGCTTGGATTCATTCTCTTCATGACATTCAGGTACACCTATCAAACTTTACTATGTGAAAAGATTAGGTCTTTTCACATAGTCCCATATTTCTTGGAGACTTTGCTCATTCCTTTTTACTCTTTCTTCTCTAATCTTGTCTTCTTCTTATTTCTGCTTGATCAATTTTACTCTTAAAACCTGTGTGTACTTCACGGAGTTCTCGTATTGTATACTTCAGTTCCATTAATTCACTTATATTCCTCTCTAAATTGTCTATTCTTGTTAGCATTTCATCAAACCTTTTTTCAAGGTTCTTAGTTTCTATACATTGGGCTAGAACATATTCTTTTTTTTGTTTGTTTTTTTGAGATGGAGTTTCGCTCTTATTACCCAGGCTGGAGTGCAATGGCACAATCTCTGCTAACTGCAACCTCCACCTCCTGGGTTCAGGCCATTCTCCTGCCTCAGCCTCCGGAGTAGCTGGGAGAACATGTTCTTTTAACTCCCAGAAGTTCCTTATAATCCACCTTCTGAATCCTAATTCTGTTAATGGAATGCACTTGTTCTCCATCAGGCCTTGTTCCCTTGTTGATGAGGAACTGTGATCCCCTATAGAGGGAGAGGCATTTTGATTTTGGGTGTTCTCAGCCTTTTTACGCTGGTTTCTTCCCATCATTGTAAATTTATCCACCCGTCATCTTTGTAATTACTGACTTTCAAATTAGGTCTCTGAGTGGACGTCCAACTTGCTGATTCCCAGTGCTGGAATCTGAGCAACCCACTATGCCAGCTAAAACAGTGGCATTAAGATTTGTGGTGCTTTTCTGCCCAGGAATCTCCAGTCTGGAATCTCCAGTCTGGCTTCCTTCTTGAGTCCCTTTTTCAATCAACTGAATAGAGGACTCTGCCTTCCCAGAGTTCCAAACATCAACTAAAAGGGGACCCAGTTCCTTTTACTC